TAATCTGTAGTGAATAATTTCATGAGCTTCACCAAACATGTGAAACTATTCACTACAGATTAGTAAGTAAGCACAAACAAGACTGTGCTTACCTTGCTGAAACTATTCACTACAGATTAGTAAGTAAGCCCAAGTAAATTGGGCTTACCTTGTTTACTGAGTACTCTGTGCCTGTCAGGGATTGCAAATAAGAAAAGAGGCTTTGATTCCATAGGAGGGTGCTATGAGTTTGGGAGACAGATACTAGCCATACCTAGAAGCAGAATCTTTGATGTGGTGAAAAAAATGTGAAATTGTTCACTACAGATTAGTAAATAAACATAAGTAAGCCTGTTGTTTATTGGGTAATCCGATACTGACCATGGGCAATCCTGCTGATGTGAAATACTGGTGGCAAGGCTTCTAGCATCATAGCAACACACAACCCACCAACTTAAGACAAACTGACAGATCAATGGTCACCATATTAATGCAAGTTGTTAATAACAAAGAAAACCAGATGTGGGATATATGGGAACTCTCTGTACTATCTTCTCAATTTTTCTGTAAATATAAAACTGTTCTAAAACATTAAGTCTCTTAGAAAAATAAATCAAGCCATATGAAAAAAAAAAGTTTGTCTCCCTTCACTGTTCCAACCACTTTGTTCATTTCCTGGGCTTCCCTTGGCCTGTTCCTGCCAGCACTGTCTGCCGCTGCTCCCTGCCACCTGGGGGCTGTTCCCTGCCCTCTTTACCTGTTCCGCCTCTGGCCTTCTCTGCCGCTGCTATTTGCCTTGAGATAATCTTTAAACCTTAAACCTAAAACATCCCCTGAAGTCTTCTTAAAACTGAACAATAATTTAGCTAACTAATAAAGTCTGCCTTGAGTATTATGCTCTTTTAAGAACTGTCTATATGGGTACAAATTAACAACAGCAACTTGAAAGATAGGTAGGAACCTTAGGGAGCAGTGAGTTTATGTTAATGATGGAGGAATAACTCAGAAAAGGAGGATGAGAAAGAATGGTTGCACAACTTGATGAATTCTATCATGTCACTGAATTGTACACGTAGAAACTGTTGAATTGGTGTATGTTTTGCTGTATACATTCTCAACAACAGTAACAACAACAATATATATTTAAAGGAATAAAAAAAAAGTGGCTGGAAGTGCTGTGGGATCCCTCTTCATCCTCTCCTTGCTCTATACTCTCTCTAGGTGTTCTCAGATCCTTAGAAGGTTTTAGGTCATGCTCTCACCTATAACTCTAACCCAGCTATCTCCCATAGAACAAGTTCTGAGGTCTTGATCTAAAATTATTCTGGACTTCTTTACCAGTTTATCCCATGGGCTCTTCAAATGCAACAAAATCTAAAATTGAATTCTTCTCTTAAAAACAATTTAGTGTTATTTCAGATAAATAGAAAAGCGTAGCTTATTCAAGAAATGGTATTAAGACACTGGCTAATCCTTTGGGGAAAATTTTTTTCATATCAGAAAATATTCCAGGATGATAAAGATAAAAACGTAAAAAGTGAAGTCACATAAAGATTTTGAATTTTCTTTGTAAGAGAGCTGAGAAGGCATTAGTTTTAAGCAGGGGAATGATAATGATTGATTATATTATAGCAGGATCAGTGTAGCTGCTGTAAGGGAAGAGATTTGGGAGACTATTTCTACAGGAACTCTGGTAGCTTAGTGCCTAAAGGGCTTGACTGCTAACCAGAAGGCTGGCAGTTCAAACCCACCATCCACTCCTCGGAAGGAAGATTGGGGAAGGAAGATTGGGCAAACTACTAGTGATACCACCTCTGAAACCTAAGGAGGGGTGGTTATGAGTTGGGTCTGACTGGACAGCACAGAACATTTCTATAGGCTGCATTCCAGTGTTGCTGCTAAAAAGTGAGCAGTCACATCTGCTTTTTCTTGTTGGCTGCTTTAAAGACCTTCTCTTTGTCTTTGATGTTCTGCAACTTCCTTACCTGTGTTTGTAGTTGTTTAGGCACGGATTTATTTTTATTTATCTAGCTTGGAATTTGTTGAGCTTGCTGAATATGAAGTGTGTTGTCTTTCAGCAATTCTGGAAAATATTCTGACATTCTTTATTTTCCACATCTCTTACGCTTTCTTTCAAATATTCCATCTCCATGAATCTCTGGACTGCATTGTGAATATATTTTCCCTTCTACTTTCCATTTCACTGATTTTTCTCTTTTGGTATGTTAAATCTATTGTTTAATATTTATTTAAATTTTAATCATTTTAGTTTTTATTTCTAGGAGTCACTCTTTTCCACATTTGCTTCACCAGTCCTTATAGTATCTTTAAGCACATTAATACTTATTTTTAAACAATGAAACAACCACAAAAGTACTTGAAGAAACCATAGGTGACTATTTATATAATCTCAAGATGTGCTGGGAGTTTTTAAGTATTGTACTACTCTGAAACTACAAAGATTTGAATGTAAAGAAATGTAAAATTTCTTCAAAATAACATTAAAATCGTAAATCTTCACCCAAATCCTAAAAAAAAAAAAAAAAATTAAAATCAAGACAAATGAAAAACTAGGGGAAATATTTGAAAAATATATGTTGTTGTTGTTGTTGTTATGTGCCGTCGAGTCGGCCCCGACTCATAGCGACCCCTCCTTGGGTTTCCGAGGCAGTATCACTACGGAAGTAGGATTGCCCAACCTTCCTTCCGAGGAGTGGCTGGTGGGTTTGAACCGCCAGCCGTCTGGTTAGCAGGCAAGTGTCTTAGCCACTATGCTACCAGAGCTCCTGAAAAATATATAAAAGGGTTAATAACTTTAACTGTAAAGAATGATTTCAAGTCAGTAAGAAAAATAATAAAATCTCAATCGGTTAACAGATAATGGATATAAACAATTTATAATGGAGAAATATAAATGCCTAAAGAGAAAAGAAAAAGAAAAATGTTTAACCCCAGTAATAATCACAGAATATGAATTATAAGAGCAATGAGGTTATTACTTATCTTTTAGAGTGACAAAAATGAGTAAGATTATTGGGGAAATGGGTCTTGTTATGAACTGTGTATGAGAATACAAACTGCTGTCTTTCTGGAGGTCAGTGTGGCTTATGTCTCAAAACAAGAAAAGACATGCTGCGATATGGAACAATTACACTTCCAGGGATCATTCCTAAGGAAAATAGGGAACAAGAGTGCAAATATGTGTGTGGCATTGTTGTTTATAATAGTGAAACATTTAAAAAAAATATGCTGCGCCCAGATCTTCAATCCCCAAAAACCACCAAGGAGCTGATTCCACTGCAAAAGCATTGGGGTTGTTTATTCAAGCTCGAGCTGGGACCCTCAACTGTCACCGACACAGCAGTTCAGGATTGAGAGTCCCAAACTCTAGGGTAACAGGGTTTTTATACGGGTTACAGCAGAAATGAGGAAGTTTCAATCAGAAAATTACAGGATTGGTTGACATTTTTCAAGTTGCTAGTTGTTCCTACTTGATTGGCTCTGTCTTGGGGGCTGAAGCCGCAGACTGCCATTTCTAACTATTTTAGGTAAGGTATTTTCTTGCTATTTACTGATTGGTTGTTGCTAGGGAGTATGCTAGGGAGTATGCTAGGGAGTATGCTAGGGAGTATCGATGAGGAGGGGGTAGTCAGGACTCCTTGTTGTTTATCCAGTTTGTCGCTAGGGAGTATCGATGAGGTGGGGGTAGGCAGGACTCCTAGTGGTTTTTCCAGTAACTAAAGCACTGAAGTGCAACTTAAATGCTAAAGCATATTGCAAAATGGCTACATACTTAAAAATGATTACATACAGGGTGGTTATATAGAAACATGGTCTCACACATAAATCCAATCGTAAGAGATAAAACTATTCACCAGTGAACTACAACATAGTCATTAAAATTTTACTTATTAATTAACACAAAAATATTCATAGCATAACCCCCCCAAAAAAACAAAAAAACCAAGCTCACTGCCGCGGAGTGGAATCCAACTCCTATAGCGACCTGTCCTTGGGTCTCCGAGGCAGTATCACTACTTTCCTTTCCAAGGAGTGGCTGGTGGGTTTGAACCACCAGCGTTCTGGTTAGCAGTCAGATGCCTTAGGCAGTACGCCACCAGAGCTCCCATTCATAGTATACTGGTAAGAAAAAAATAGGCTACAAATATATGTAGGTATATATGTGTGTAGGAGCTCTAGTAGCATAGTGCCTAAGGCACTTGACTGCTAACCAGAAGGCTGGCGGTTCAAACCCGCCAGTCACTCCTCGGAAGATGGGGCAATCTACTTCCTTAGTGATACTGCCTCAGAAACCCAAGGAGGGGTCGCTATGATTCCGGTCCGACTCGATGGCACATAACAACATGTATGCATGTATTACTTATTTATATTTTTGTTAAAAGATGTATTCGTGTGGGTACATATGTTTGGAAGACTACACACCAAAACATTCATGTTGTTATGTTCCCCGGAGTCAGACCAATTCATAGCGACCCCTCCTTGGGTTTCCAAGAAGGTATCACTACAGAACGGTATTGCCCAACCCTCCATATAAACCCATTAAAACCCGCTGCATAGAGTTGATGCCAACTCATAGCGACTCTGCCAGCGTAGACCTGCCCCATAGGGTTTCCAGGCCTGTAAATTTTTACCCAAGCCAACTGTCTGATTTATCTCTCATAGAGTGACTGGTTGGTTGGAACTGCTGACCTTTCCACTACCAGCCAAACGTTTTAACCGCCGCGCCATCAGCACTTCTTATTACCGGTGGGAAAAGAAGTAGCGTAATTTTAAAGGGCCTGCACAAAATAAAAGTGACCATTTATCGATGAAGCACGCAGGTGGGGTAACGTACAGCTTAAGTATATAAACAAAAGGCACTCCCTAAGGCCCTTTTTTTTTTTTTTTTTTTTTTTAAGGCCTTACAAGTCCATAAGGTAGTCAGGATTCGCCGCCATCTGGAGCTATTTTATCCCTCAGGCACCGTCGAGGCCACCCTAGGCTTTGCGCGGGTCCTGGCGGGGGGGCGGGGCCGTGCAAGCCCGGAAGAGATGCCGCTCCGCGCATGCTCCTTCCTTTCCAGTCCCAGCTCCGGACGTAGCAGTCGTCGCGGTGAGTTCCCTCGTAGTCCCTGTTCTATCGGTCCCCCATCCGGGCCATCCCGCCGTCGTGGACCTTGCGTTTCTCTGGGGTTAGGACGAAAGGCACCTCTCCCCCGTTCTACACGCCTATTTCTGAGAAGCGAGAAGCACTAGGGTCGCACCTCTGCGGGATTGGAGGGGGGTGCTATTCGGCGAAGATTGGCGTCAATGGCGGGCCCATCGGCGGAGAGAAAAGTGGAGGATGCAGGCCAGAGACTGGGGAAGCAGCGTCCCGCCTGCACACTTTTCCTCCGAGTCAGAAACCCTAGGCTGCCCCCTTTCCTGGCCCGGGAACTCTGGCTTGGGAGAGGGGTGATAGATTCCTTAGCGTTTCTGTTGGGAGTCAGCTGGCGTGTCGAATAGATGGCCTTCCGCCTCAGGCCCCTCGTGTAGCCCTTCAGGTACAGCCGTGTGATTCTTCGTTAGGTACTGTACTCATAGTGTTCAAGTGTTCTTCAAGTACAGGGTCTGCGTGATCTCTACCCGTTGTGCCTTTGTGGTTATGAGACCTTGTGAAAGTCTGAAGCGAACGTGCATTCCCATTAAACACCGTGTTTATTTCTTTGTCACCTGAACTGCTTTTGGCGATGGGGAAGGAACTGATCTCTGGTGGGTTTCAGTTTTGCTGAGTGTGTATCCCTTCTTTCTGCAGTTCGAGATACTAACCCAGTGAGTGGTGGTTTTGTGTGGTTTTTTGGGGGTCATGAACTTAGTTACTGGATCCTGGCCACATTGCTCAGAAGTGTTCTTGATGACTGCTTCTTTCTTACAGATGTTGATGCCCAAGAAGAATCGGATTGCCATTTATGAACTCCTTTTTAAGGAGGGGGTGATGGTGGCCAAGAAGGATGTCCACATGCCAAAACACCCGGAACTAGCAGACAAGAATGTGCCCAACCTTCATGTCATGAAGGCCATGCAGGTAGGCAGGGGCTGCTGGATTAGAGCAGAGGTCAAGCCATTTTCCACAAATGAACGTTCAAGGCATATTTCAAGTAGAGGTCAGGACCAGAGCTGCTTGCCTTGAAGGGCTGGGCCCTGAGGTAGATGGGCAAGCACTTGGAGATGCACAGTGAAAACTTGTTTGTGCAGCTTTTCTTTGCATTGAGTTTCTAGATCCATGTCTCTGGTCTTTTGAATCACTGTATTTTGTAGTTAGGCCATAACAGTGTATTTCTGTCTTAACAGTCTCTCAAGTCACGAGGCTATGTGAAGGAACAGTTTGCCTGGAGACATTTTTACTGGTACCTTACCAACGAGGGTATCCAGTACCTCCGTGATTACCTCCACCTGCCCCCTGAGATTGTGCCTGCGACCCTGCGCCGCAGCCGTCCTGAGACTGGCAGGCCACGACCTAAAGGTACAGTGTCCATATACATGCCCAAGGATCTGCTGTGAAGCTGCTTTCTGTGTGTGAAACTGGTGGTTTTTCAGGTGTGTGATGGAAGTAGTGTGGTGTCATTGTGGGACTTTGGTTGAGTCCTAGAACCTTTCTTCCCTGTTCTCTTGCAGCCCTTGCGTGCAGCTTGTGAGGGAAATAGACTCAGGCCTTCAGACCATCCCATGAGATGACATTAAACACCCATAGAATATTACAAAGAATAAAATCGGGGAGAGTAACTGTTCTTACAGGAGCTCTGGTAGCATAGTGGCTAAGGCACTTGACTGCTAACCAGAAGGCTGGTGGTTCAAACCCACCAGCCACTCCTCGGAAGGAAGGTTGGGCAATCCTACTTCCGTAGTGATACTGCCTTGGAAACCCAAGGAGGGGTCGCTATGAGTCGGGGCCGACTCGACGGCAAACAACAACAACAACAACTGTTCTTACAATCATGGGGTGAAATGATAGGTTTTTTTGTGTGTGTTATCTTTTGGCTAATTGCTCACAGTTGCATTTTGCCAAGCTTATGGTTTTCTTCCTTATATTCTGAAAAAATTTTCTTGGGAATTTTCTAGGGAATTTGTGGTCTAGGGTGATGCGATAGAGATTACTAAACACCGACTGTTGAGGTTCCACTGAAGAGCCTGACTTTGTGGCTGTCTGGAATCTGTAGTTTTTGTTGGAAGTGTCCTAAAGGATCCTGGTGGCTAGCTGGAATCTTTAGGTCAAAGACTCTCCACTGCATCTTGGAATCACCCAGGGAATAACTGTGTCTCTGCACTTGCAGATTCTAATTAGTTGGTCTAGGGTAAGGGCTAAGGAGGTCTGGTGGCATAGTGCCTAAGGCATTTGACTGCTAACCAGAACCCACCAGCCACTCCACAGAAGGAAGACTGGGCAATATGCTTCTGTAAAGATTTACCATCCCAGAAACCCAAAGGGGGTTGCTATGAGTCAGAATCGACTCGATGGCAGTGAGTTTGGTTTTTTGGTGTGAGGGTAGGGACTTAGTATTGTTGTTTTGGTTGTGTGTATTAACACTCCCTGGGTGATCCTAATGTGCAGTCAGCATTGAGAAGCACTGCTTTCTTGCATTTAGTCTTGTTTTATGCCAGTCAGTGCAGGATCAGTCTTTCTTTTCCTGTTTAATAAAATAGTCCATATTCTAATCTAGGGTAACTGGGTAGAGAGAATTTAGGAGGAATACTAGTTGAATTCTTACCAGTGTTGGTGAAGATGGTTTTACAGTAGCTGTTAACTTTTGCCTTTTAAAATAAATCAATGCCTTAATATTTCTTCCACAGCTTGACTGGTGGTATATAGAAATGTCAAAGGGGGGTGCTAAAGGGTTCTTGTGGCCTTCATATTCACATAACTGCCAGAGGTGGGGTTTCACCTCATGATGCCTCTCTTCCCATTTTTGTAGTTTTCAACTTAGATATGGCTCAGGTTCTAAATTTGATGCTTGTAAGAAAGGTTAGTTTTTGAAATTTGTCAAATAACTGGGAAATGTACGTTAATGCTGAGAAAGTACTGTAGAAGAATGCTATCCTTTTGCAGATGATGGGCTGTTTTAACTGTTTAAAGTTTCCTGGTCCTTCAATGATGACAGTTCTGGCCTTGAAGATTCCTGTTAATCTTTAATAACTAATAGAACAGATGAACGATTACAGTATTCTTGGCCTTAAAGGAACAGAGGTTCTATGTTGGCCTATGTTTAAAATGTGGTTTAATTTATGTAGGTCTGGAGGGTGAACGACCTGCAAGACTGACTCGAGGGGAAGCTGACCGGGACACGTACAGACGGAGCGCTGTGCCTCGTGAGTAATGACCCATCTATATCATAGATATTGTGATAAAATTTCTGAGTTTTCAGAGCCAAGGTGACTGTGAACAATCTGCAGTTTCCACCTCTGGATCATCAGAACAGCTAGAGGCCTTTGCTTCTCAGAGATTTGGTAGATGGGAATTAGGAGCAGTCATCTGAAGTCAGGACACAGGACATCAGAATTTTCATAGCACCTACTATGGGTAAACACAGAAAGCAATCTAAGCTTGAAAACAAAAATGAAAGGCTTTTCTGTGCTCCACTGTTGTATTCCTGTGTTCATTCCATAAAGTGAGAGTCCTCTGAAGGCAGAGCCTATTCAGATAGTTTCATTGTTGTCTTACTGCAAAAATAATGCAAATTCTTACTTTATATTGCAAGTATTTGCATTGACTTGGAACAACAGCTATTCATTGATTGAACTGTACATTGAGTGCCTATTCTGTGCCTAGCCCAGTTCTAGGAGCTGAGGAGAATATAGTGACCATAACAGACAAAAAGCTCTTCTCATTGAGGTTGAACTTCAGTGGCAGGAAACAGATAAGTAAAGTAAGTAGTATGTCAGATGATGTGAGTGCTGTGGAGAAACGGGGGAAAGTGCAGCAATTTCACATAGAATTTTAAGGGAAAGTCTTCCAAAAGCAAAATTTGACCAAAATCACTTAAAGGAGGTGAAGGGAGCCAGCCAGTGATTCTAGGAGAAGAGCATCCAAGCAGATGAAATAGCAATGTACGAGCCCTGAGCGGGGAGGAGACCTGGCTTTTATTTCAACATGAAATGAGAGGATAGCAGGAGTATCTTAAGGTTGTGGCTCTGAACATGTAAGGAGTTAGGATTTTACTCTTGAGTAAGATGGGGAGCCACTGGTAGTATTCTTGCAAAGCAGCAGCAAGACGGGACTTGTTTTTAAAGGATCCATCTCTTCCCCCCTCCTTCTTTTTTTTTTTTTTAAGAAGTAGTTAATTGTAGATTTTTGGTTGTGAAGTGTTTAAGTGCTTTGCTGCTTTATAGTCTTGGAAAACCTTTGGGGTAGTTCTACTTTGTCCTGTAGGCTCTCTGAGTTGGAATCTACTGATGGCAGTGGGTTTGGAGTTTATTGTGGGTTATGGGTGTTTTTTTTTTTTTTTTTCTTCTTTTCTAATTGTAATAAGAAAGGCAAGATGTGGAGAAATTTTTGTCATCTTCCCTTATTCTTCATATGTAAATAGGAGTGGGCACTTGAGTACCTTACCAAATGAAACTCACTGCCATTGAGTTGATTCCTGCTCATAGTGACCTTATAGGACAGAGTACAACTGCTGCCCCATAGAGTTTCTAAGACTGTGAATCTTACTGCCTCATCTGTCTCCTGCAGTGGCTGGTAGGTTTGAACTGTAAGCCTTTTTTATTTTTTTTGGTTAGCAGCCCAGTGCTTTAACCACAGCACCACCAGAGCTGCATGAGTATCTTACAGGGGCATGGTAAAAATGAATTCCTTCAGCAAATGTGTCCTAAGTGCACCTACTATGTGTTGCTTTGACTAGGTGCTGGATAAACCAATTCTGAGTTTCTAGGATCTCTTGGTTCAGAGGAAGTTAGTGATTGTTCCTATTAGGGATCGTGGCATACAGGAAGATCAGTCAGGGAAGGCATTCTCAGAGCACACTTGGGGCCTCAACCACAGGGGTCCCTAAGTTGAGGGGAGTGAGCATTTCAGGTGAGAAAATTGTCATGTATAAAAGTATGGAGAAAGGGAGAACACTGTGGCTTGCCTTGGTCCACCACAGAGAGGTGAGCTGCCAGATACCCATGGTGGATGTGGTCTGAAATGGGCCAAACTGAACCCACTGCTGTTGAGTCAGTTGGCTTATAGTGATTGTGTAGGACAGAATCCCCAAAGGGTTTCCAAGGCTATAAATCTTGCAGACTGCCACATCTTTCTCCTATAGAGTAGGTGGTGGGTTTGCAGCTGAGTGCTCTACCCACTGCCCTGAAAAGGGCCAAATGGAAACTCCAATGTTATTTTACCAAGATTTACAGAAACCATATTCAGTCCTAAGGAGCTCTGGTGGTGTAGTGGATAAGGCACTTGACTGCTAACCGGTAGCAGCAGCTCAAACCCACCAGTCTCTCCATGGAAGGAAAATGGGGCAATTTACTTCTCTAAAGATTTACAGCCTTGGAAACCCAGTGGGGCTCACTATGAGTCGGAAACGACTTGATGGTAGTGAGTTTGGTTTTATTTTTAATATTCAGTCCTGTCTCCTACCCACACCATGTAAAAATTAAATTTCCTAATGGCCAGAAGGAAGCTCTGGTAGCGTAGTGCCTAAGGCACTTGACTTCTAACCAGAAGGCTGATGGTTCAAACCCACCAGCCACTCCTCGGAAGGAAGGTTGGGCAATCTACTTCTGTAGTGATACTGCCTCGGCAACCCAAGGGAGGGGTCGCTATGAGCCGGGTCCGAGTCCACAGCACATAATAACACCAACAGTGGCCAGAAGCAGACGGAAACCAATTAAATATTACTATACTGTATTTAAGGAGGTCTGGTAGCATAGTGCCTAAGGCACTTGACTGCTAACCAGAAGGCTGGCGGTTCAAACCCACCAGCCTCTGCTTGGAAGAAAAGTTGGGCAATCTACTTCCGTAGTGATACTGCCTCAGAAACCCAAGGAGCGGTCACTATGAGTCGGGGCCGACTCGATGGCACATAATAACAACGTACTGTACTTAATATTTCTGAAAATATTCTTTTAATGTAGTATAGAATTACTGGGAAGTTTCACATTTTTTCCTGAGTCTTTGAAATCTGGTATATGTTTTTACACACCTCGGTTCAGAATGGTGTATATTATACAGGACAGTGCAGCACTAGATCGCTTTTGTCAAATCTGCCCATTCCTGATGGTCTTAATTAAAATTGTTTTTGGCTTATGTGGGCTCAATTGCCTTTATGTTTTAATTTTTCCTTTATGGAGCTCCCTCTATAATTGGGTGCTGATCTGAAGCATGTGATAAGTAACTTAGGGAGGGTCTTTTGGGACCTGGAAGGGTAAGTAGTCCAGGTTTTATGGGCAGAAGATCAGGGCAGCCTTCCTGGAGGAGGCAATAGTTTTCAAAGGCTTTGAATTTTGAAGAGTAGCTTAAGGAATGCTGAGAAATGTGTCCCAGGAAAGAGGGAGGCAGGAAGCATGCACAGAAGGTGTTTCCCAGTTTGCTTGTACTACTTGGAGTAGTACAGCAGCTAACATGGCCTTTCTTAAGGAATTAAGTCGGGTGACATCTTGTTCTGCAGTAGGTGCAGATCAGACATTGAGTTTAAACCGGTGTTTCTCATTTTAGCTGGTGCTGACAAGAAAGCCGAGGCTGGGGCTGGGTCAGCAACTGAATTCCAGTTTGTGAGTATCCCCGATTGCTCTGTAGGTGTGGTGTTTAAGTTCTGGAGGTAGAATATAGAGCATCAGGTCCCTACCCTTATTTTTTCCTCAAACCCGATTCCAAATAAATTTTACATTGAGACATAGTATATGCACGCTTTCACATGTGAATCACTGAAATGAGTCTCAGCTCAGTACTGCATGCAACATACTGATACTTTCTGTTGCTTTTAATACTGGTGATACACCCCTAATTTGATTTCATAAAGCAAAGCTTATGAAAAATGGTAGAGACTGAGTGTGCTCTAGAACTGAGTCTGGAATTGTATCCTCCCTCATCATTTAGGTAGCATGATCTTGGGCAGATTGTCCTCCATGCCTCAGTTTTCTCATCTATAAAATAGAGGTGATTGGTAACCATCTCAAGGTAATAATAATCCTATCATTATAGGATTAGTCAATTCAGGTAGTGTTTAAGCATAGAAACTAGAATGTCACCATTACATCAGCTTCTGTCCCATAGCAGGGCTTTATAGCACACACTTGTTTTCAGGTCTCATTTGTGTATGGTAGAAACGAGCTGTCCTGTGCTGAATGCTTTCATATGTCTATATATGAACACATCCTGAGAGGATGGTCGGTCATATTCCCATTTTACAAATGAGGGAAATAGGCCTTGGAGGTGAAGATGACCCATAGCCAGTAAGGGTGGAATTTATGGTCTGCACCTGCTCATAGTTGTTACACTTAGGGGCCTCTCCAGTGACAGTGAGACCTGAAAGTTCACAAAACCCCAGAAGAGGAGAACTGGATATGCTGTTAACGCTGATGTCATTTGCTTTCTCTTGCAGAGAGGCGGATTTGGTCGTGGACGTGGTCAGCCACCTCAGTAAAGTTGGATGGGATTATTTTGTGTTAAATAAACCTATAGCCAGAAAAAAAAAAAAAAACAATCTTGAGTGTCCCAGTTTGTTTTCATTGTAAAACCTGAACAGAAATGGTTTAAGGATCAGAATGTAAATCGGGCAAGACTGGATTGGTTTTGGGAGTCGTCTTAAAGTAGCTGTACTTGGCTTTGACATGGGCTGTTTGGTTCTGGCAAGTGCATCCTAACAGGTTTGTTCCACCTCAGGGAGGCGTTTGAAAAGATGAGCATTTTTACCAGATCAACCTTGCTGGCTCATCTGCTTAATGTGAAAAGAGCTATTGTGCTGACCTTGGATTTGAGATGCTGTACCCATTTGGGAATAGCAGAGAAATTGTGCTGGGAAGGTAGGATGTAGAAAACCAAAGAGAGAACTTCTCAAAACCCTGCTAAGACTGACGGGGGAAAGATAGAAATGGTTTTTAGGCCAACGGTTTGTTTTTCCACAAATAGAATAAATACTGGTCAGTTGGTGCTCTTGTCCAAGGTTCCTTGGAAAGGGAAAATGCATTTTCTCTGAGTGGTAAGGAGTTCTGGTGGCGCTGTGGTTAAGGCAGTGAGTTGCTAACCAAGTTTGGCTAGTAAAACCCACCAGTTGCTCTGCTGTGGGAGAACGATGAAGCAGTCTGCTTCTGTTAAGATTTGCAGCCTTGGGAATCTGTTGGGGTCACTATGAGTAATCAACTCAATGGCAGTGGGTTTGGTTTAGTTTATAAGTAATGACTCATAATACAATTTAAGTGAATAAGTGAGTTTGGGGATTATAAGAATTGTATGCATTTTTTCCTGGCTTCAAAGTTCCCCCTTGATGAGATGAAGTGCATTTTGCCATGTATACTAGAGTTTGGAACTGAGGTGGGATGAAAGGACCATTTCTGTGGTCCTTCACAGTGAATACAAACCACCCCCAGCCCTAGCTAACATGGTAGTAGGAGAAGCAGCCTGATGAGGGTTCAGGGAGACAATCCTGCAGGTGGGAATACTGACCTTGGCTTATAGGTTAGTCATCATGACCAGTACCAGTAAATAATGTGCTTCTCAGGTGAGAGTCAAAGCATCTGAGAAATCAGCCAATAGGTGACAACTTGAGCCCTGGTGCTGCCTCAGGACAGATCTGCCAAGGTAAGGTTTTCAGTCTGCAAAACTGGTAGCTGGTAGAAATGCATCATGTGCTGTGGGGACTCGGGAATTTGTGAAGTACAAGGTGGGCCAGACGCTATAGTATTATCCATCACAAGTATGGTGATGGATAATACTGTAGTTGAGACATTAAAATACATTTGGTAACTGACAGAGCCCAAACTGCAAACAGGTGGTTTTGTGCTGGTAGCCACCTATTTCAGCCTCAGTACGCAGTTGTAATTTAAACCACTAGGTGGCAGCCAATAGCAACCCTGATAATGTACTTAAAACAGGCCTAGGAGGTGAGTTTTGGAATCTGAACGACTAGGAAATAGAAGCTTGCTTTGGCAGAAAGGTGGTGTTTGAGAATGCTGTTCACTGTGGCTTTGCTGCTTTGCCAAAGATAGCTTTTATCCAGTTTATCTGCTGTCTCAAGTGAGACCAAGTGGTTTGCCCGTGTTCTCGCACCTTGTGATTGTTTAATTGCCTTGTGATTGTTTAACCGGGATTCTACTGTGAAATAGTAGCTCCTGCTCTGTCTGTTTCCCATTGAGGCTGGCAAATGGGTGGATTTTCTCTATGGCTTTGATTTCTCGGCCCCAAAGGATCACCTTTTCACCTAGAGTTCTTTGCCAACCACCGTTGTGATTTGTTCTGGAATATATCCTCCAGATCACTCATGGATTCAGGATCAGTGTAACCTGCAAGCCAGAGTAAGAGGACATGTCTGAAAACTGCAGATGGCAGTGGTCTTGTTGCCCACCAGCCTCTCTACACAACCACCACTACCGTGATTGAATGGGTGCCAGGGATCCGTGTTGCTAAGGGCTTTGAGAAACAGAAGTCTCCGAAGTTTGCCCCTGCGGACCTCACAGTGTAGTTGGGGAATAAAATCTATACATTAAGAATCAATAATGCAAGCAACTATAAGTGGTAAGTTGTTCAGTGCAGAACAAATTCTAAGGAAATGCAGGATGCGAAGAGGAAGGGTGAAGTGGCACAAGGTGGGTCTTGGGGAGCAAGGGAGAAATGAGATTGCAACTTGAGGTGCAGTGATGAATGTGGTATGGAGTTGGGTTGGGGGAAGGCTGGGGGTGGGGATGAAAAATAACGTATTGGGGTATGAAAACATCAGGTAGTGTCAGATTATGACTTGAAAATGGAGGTGCTGAGACCCAAAAAAACGCTAGGAAAGAAGCCACAGGTGCCTACAAGTTGGATGTGGATGGGTGGATTACAAAGGGACTGGGAGACACCTGTCTGACAAACGTGTGGGCACAGCCATCTCTGGGAGAAAAACTTTGGGGGCATTTTGGCCCATCATTCTCATGTGTGACCACCAGTTCCATACCTCACCACCTGACTTCCCCTGTACCAAGTGTTTTGGAGGCTGAGAAATTTTCATAAGCCTGATGAGGACACAGATCCCCTTTCCATGAAAATTTGGTGCCTTTATGAGCAGTGCCAATAACTTAAGTTACTACTTTCTACTTACTTAAAATAAGGAGCTCTGGTGGCACAGTGGTTAAAGCATTTGGCTGCTAAGCAAAAGGTCAGCAGTTCAAACCCACCAACCACTCTGCTAGGAGAAAGATGAGGCAGTCTGCTCTGTAAAGATTTATAGCCTTGGAAATCCTATGGGACAGTTTACTTTGTCCTAAAGGATCACTGTCCCTGTGAGTTGGGATCAACTTTATAGCAGTGGGTTTTGTTTTGGTTTAATTTAGTAAACAGAATTAGGAAGTAACTACCAAGTGCTGATATTAGATGCTGGAAGACAAAGATGTTTAAGATGGGATCAGCTTAAAGGATTTTTGAAGAGACTTGCTTTTTGAGGTTATGTCCTCTAGCCATAAAGACATGAGGGCCCAATAAAACATTCCAGCAGGACACTTTCCCCCTCCCTACCCTGGTCTCCAGAAACCAGGCCGCCTAAGGGAGAACTAAGAAAAGGGAGGCCCACCTATGCACAGATGGTCTCAAAGCTCAGGAGCGTGACCTTGTGGAGTTAGGGGCACCTCCCTCAAAATGAGTTTTGATGCTGAACCATTAGAATGAATCTATCAGTCCTTATATTTCACAGGTCTTGGAGAAATGAGATGGAAGAAAGAAGCCTTGCTAATAGCACTAAATCTGGTAATTGTTTCAAAATCCACAGATGGAGGGCTTAATGACCTAGGTGAGAGGCAGCTTTTCTGGTTAGGCTTTCAGGGCAAAATATTTTTGGTCTTAGAATGCTGTGGCAAGAAACTGGTGGTCTACTGGAAAGTGGGTGGTAGGAGCAGAAGTGCAACAGATCTTCCTGCCCCACCCCTTCCTGCTTGACCTTGCCTTAAACTAAAAAAAAAAAAAAAGGTCATTGCCATAGCAAACCCCCTCCCCCACTTGGGTTTCCAAAGCAGTATCTGTCTATGGAAGTAGACTGCCCAATCTTCCTTCCGAGGAGTGGCTGGTAGGTTGAATCGCCTGCCTTCTGGTTAGCAGTCATATGTCTTAGGCACTAGGCCACCAGAGGTCTCTGACCTTGCCTTAGGCTGCCATTAACTCCCTCAGGACCATTGTAATCCCCTCAGAAGGGATTCCCCTGCCTTTGGCCAACCATTCTCTGCACTTGAGACCTACAGTAATACTAAGTGGAAAGTAGCCCCCAGTGCTGGTGGCTTATAGTGGGGACAGGGGCAAGTATTTTCAAGGGGAATGCTTCCCATAGTGGGTCACTGACCGTTTCAATTAAATCAGTCTGTGTTTGTACTGAAATAGCATGAGGCAATAACAGTGGCTAGCACTTTGAGGACTCATCCCCATGGCTTAAATTCCATACAATAAGGACTATATAAGATGAACATTGAAACCAGCCAGGTATACTTAGAGCAGTCAACCATGGTAGATCAGAAGGGCAGCATTTGTGCAGGAGGTAGCTCAAAGAGGAGGAATGCATAGGAAAGAAGGACACAGGGAAAAGGTAACCACAAGGAGGAAGTGAGAAAAGGGCTGTTAAATTGTGGGGATTGCAATCAATGTCATGAAACAAAATGTATGAACTATTGAATGGAAAATGAATTTGCTCTGTATACTTTCACCTCAACCCCCAGCAAAAAAAAAAAAAAAAAAAATCTAACATTTTCCTGAGCAGGGCAGAGGCCAGGCAGAGTGGCTGAGGGCCAAAGAGATAAGTGCTTGCAGGCATGACTGAGTGGAAGCTGTCCTGATCTAAGAACTGAATCCTGAGTATGTTCCTGAACTTGAATTGTAACCTGTTATTCTCTATGTAAACTCAGAATTGGGGGGGGGAGGGTGGCTGGCCCAGTTGGTGCCTCATGGAGTAATGTTGGAAGAAACTTGGGGCTTCCTCCACCAAGGCTAGGAGTTTGTATTTTGTAACTTTTTAAAAAATATAATTAGCATATAACAAAACAGTAAGAGTGTACAACTTGGTAAGTTTTGGCATATGTATATATTTATGAAACCATAACTAAATGATGTTTCCCTTAGGCAAACACTGATCTGTTTCCTGTCACTATAGTTTGCATCTTCTAGAGTTTTACATAAATGGAAATATATATTATATACTCTTTTTTGGGAAGTGGGTAGCTTCTTTAACTTAGCATCATTGCTTGTAGTTCATCAGTGTCGTTCCTTTTTATTGCTGTGTAGTATTTCATTGTAAGGGTATGCTACAATTTGTTTAGCCATTCACCTGTTGAACATTTGAGTTGTTTCCATCTTTTTACTATTGTGAGTAATGTTATGTACATCTATGTATAAGTTTCTATGTGGGGAAATACTATTTAATTCTCTTGGGGTATAAACATAGATGTAGAATTGCTGGATCATATGGTAAACTCTATGCTTAACATTTTGAAGAACAGCCAGCCAGTTTTTCCAAAATGGC